ATATAGAAGAGGCTGTCCACCTAAAAAGTCATCATTTTAAACGCGCGACAAGAAAATAAACAGCGGAGACAGTAGACATTTTTAATAATGGAAATGTATTTTTAGATAGAGAAGCTTCTCGAGATATATTTAGATTGCTTCGGGTTCAACATGACCTGACTACCTAACCTAAATGAAGAAAATGTGATGTTATACACAACGTTTCATCTTTTGAATATCTTCATTCTATAATCCGTAATAACAGCAAATAGTCCATTATTTTATAAAATGTATTATAAAAAATCATCTATTAATCTATAAAATGTATAATAGAACATTTATTATTAGTTTTGTTGGAATTATTGGATGGATGGATGAGTGATATGATAAAAGGTGGATGGAGTGGTTGCTCTTATAAGACAACCTGATATCATTCTAGTGGGAGTCAGAAATGAATTCCCAATGTACTTAATCAATATAAGTCTTGTTATTAACAACGATCCTCATCTTCGGAAAATAGCATTCTATGGAATCAAGTAATCATAACTATCACTATTTGTAACAATAAAAGTATCCATTTCTGTACTAGTTGGCCTGTACTGCTGTTACAATAGTCCGTGAAACAGCAGAACACTTTACATTTGCCAGATTGTTCACATTGTCTTTGCTCCTTGAAGCACTCGCCCCTAACGTGGCATAGTTTGGTTACTGTCAGCTCTCCTGTGTAGTTTGTAGGTATGCGCTTGTAACATGTGTCAAGTTTATAGCGGATTGAGCATTCAGATGACTTCATTCGTTTATTCTTCTTGCAATAAGTCTCCTTTCCACTACAGACGTAACATCGTATGGAACTAACTGTTGGAGGAAGTACAAAAGATTGTTCAGAACTAGAATTTTTTTTTTTTTTTTTTTTTGGGGGGGGGGGGACCCTGCCACCACCAGGTTTACATTTTAATCTTTTAAGGAGCCGGCTTACGAAAAGCAAATAAGGCTTTTAATATTTTGAAGAAGTTGCAGCTAGGATGTTGCACGCTTTGCATTTTGCCACTGCACTGAAGAAGATCGCWGTTGCGATCGAAACGTTTGCATTAAAATTGTTTTTTCAAGCTAGAGACAATTCAATTTCTTTATTAAGGCTTTTAATGTTGCGCAACATTTGTTGCTTTTCAAGTTTAAAAAAAGACTTTCTATTTTGGATCTAATTCATCCGACTAAATTTGAGCTAATCACGTGCGCCATCTGATTGGCTAGAACAGTTATCGTCATGATGGCGACCGTCATTTGCGCAACACGATTCTAACTAAAATACAGTGATTGCAAGATAAAGTTGAATGTAGTACCAAAAACGAGCGACAAACAGCAAAATTATCAGCAGAAAGTTGGTCTACGGTCTGCTTTGTCAAACTTGCAAAAGATGTTTTCTTGGCGTTAGAAGTTGACCGAAGGATCGGTTTTTTGTTAGTATTTGATGAGCAACGATGTTGTTCTGCAACTTGACATTTTTGTTTCTCTTTAAGGCTCGTTTACACTTGCGATTTTTGCAGAGCGATTCTCGCGGCGATCGTCGCGCGAACATCGCCTGGGTTTCGAACATGCTTCAAAATTGGCGGCGATTTTCTATCGTCGCAACAATCGCAGGGCTGTTTTACACGTACGATTTGAGTTGCGCGATAGCAAAAGTGGCTATTATCGCGCTGGGCAAAAATTGCAAGTGTAAACGGACCATTAAGGAGCCTCGAGGTATTTCAAATTATCTCATTTATATAAACATTCAGCCATGACATGAGTACAAATGCATAAATGTTTGTATTTACTATTGTGGCTGAGTAGCATGGGGTAACAATTGACACCGTTTTTCCTATGGGAACAACCGTATATAAGAGGGATATCTTAACGAAATTGAGCTAATACTTTCATTGACAATGTATATTAAGAATTAACTTGTTTTCTTTTCTGCTTGGACCAGGAATGATCGATTTAATAACTTTATGAAATCACTTTAATTATTTCTCGATGTTGACAAGTCATTTGGCTCGAGGTCGAAACGTCTTGACATGAAGGAGTCGGAGATAAACATTAATTTTATTATCATCTTTTGATAAATATAATTCTTACTTTCTGCATTTTCAATACTGAGCAATGACAAACCGATGCAGAACGAGAGATTTGTTTTGTAATATCTGCTTTTTGTACATAAATTTAATTTTAACGTTTAATTTGTACATTTTACGCGTGGTTTCGCGTAGGTTAATGTCACGAAGAAATAATTTGGTTGAATGACTCAAAATCAAACCTAAAAATCTCACTAAACCACCGGACATAACAAGTCGCTTGGGTTAAATTTGCAAGTTAATTTTGCAGAGTGTTAATTGAAAGTCAGTTATGAAAACGTCAGAYTATTAAGCTTTAAACAAGGCACCGTTTTTTAATTGAGTGTACTTGAATTGTTTGCGCTAACATTTCTGAAGTTATTTGTTCACATGAGTAACAACAACATAGGAAAATATACTGCTCATAGACTTTTTTGCCAGCATTTCAGCAATCTATCTTGCTTTAACAACTATAGAATTTATAATAATGTGACCCGTACGTTGATATTAGTCATATTACTAGACCTTAGAACAATAACCGGAATCTTAGGATAAGAGTTGAAGTAGACTTCATGTTTACATTACGTTAAGCTTTATCCTTCTGAATTATTTAAAGTAAAATGCCCTGATTTTGAAAGAATGCCATTGCCACGACTGTGATCTTATATTGAGCACTGAATGAAGTATTTAGCGTAATCCGCCGCCAATCTGATTGTGGCTTAGTCAACGAAACTTCAACAAACTTAAAGGAATATTCGAAGTCTAAAAGGAATGCTCACATGAGGGGAATATTCAAATCTAAAGTGTATTTATTCAATAAGTACCTAATGTAGACAYAAAGTAGTCGTAAAGTTCTGGTTTTTCGCTTGCGAACTCGAGCAAATCGTTCAGTCTTCCTACCAATTCATCTGGGAATAAATATAGTCACGAACGAAAAGCACCCCATCTCACAGATTTCACTCACCTTGACCGAAATGAAGACCACAAAATATTGCCACTACGAATAACCAATATTTCATGTGGAATTTCTTGGTGTATTTTTCGACCTTCGCCGTTTCAATTCACCACAATGTTTTGATTGTCGTGGACGAATTTGGTGTTGTGATGTTTATAAGTTCAAGTTGACTAACATTCGTAGACACCCTACAGGGCCCATGAATCATTTGTCTGTCGATGTGACGTCATTTGGTGAAAATTTATTAAACGGGGAGGGGTGTGAAGGTTTTTTGCTAAAACTTCTGACCGCGCGCTGTCTGATTGGCTACCTTACTGGATGTAAATAAGCGATAGTCTTTTAGTAAAAATAAAGAACATAATAGGGTTTTTCAGCAGCAATCAACTTCAAAATTACTCGTCAAATATCACAAATTTCTCTTTTGTTACTTGCAGTTTATTTTGTTGTATACAAGCAATAACGTTTTAGAGATTAAATTATTATATTATACAGAAAGTACAAAACTAGAGTTGCTACCTAGAAAATTATGTAGTGACAGGCATTTGCTTATAACACGCAAGATTATAAAGAAAAATTACAAAAAAAAATTATTTACTCGTGAAAGAAAACAAATTCCATACTGAGTCTTTTTGATTGAAAAACGTTTATAAACAGATATTGAATTAAAATTTGACAAAGCTCAAAAGTGCAGAAAGCAAAGCCATGAAAGCAAGCATGGTGTAGTTGAATTGCAACGCAGCTACTCCAGAATCGCCCTTGTTACAGCCGTCCGTCATGCAGCAACTTGTAGTACAGTAGTTTTTCACCTTATCACACGCTGACTTGGTCGTGTTGCACAGTGACTCCGTTGCACAGCTCTTGACCACCTTGCTGGAGTTTTTGTACGATGTGTGGATGCATCTATCACCAACACCCAGACATGATGTTTCCTTGCAGACACTGAGGACGCAGTTGTAGCATTTGATCGAGAAAACTGGAAAACAAAGAAACAAATTGAATAAATCAATGGTGTTTATGTAAAGTTTCCAGAACAGGGCGTTCCCGTTTACAGTGAGTGATAAAATCGGAAATTCTGCATTCTGGGGAATAGGGGAAATAATTTAGAGTTATGAATCTATGAGTGGGAACCAAGGTCTATCGTATTTGGTAAKGTTTTCTTCTTGTATTGTGTGTCATTCTCGGTATTTCCTGCATAGCTTTGAGGCTTTGTTTCTAATTTGAATCTGTGACTTTTATACTCCCTTTTGAAGATCTATTGCACCGCCTAAAAGTGTAATATTTGTTTATGACGTTCATGGATATTTTCTATTTTGAAACCGCGCATATAGCGACCATAATGACGCTTTRAGAGTGCGTAGWCGGTATCCACTAGGTATGATCATAGATCATTTTCGTTGTTTTCGTGTAAGCGGTAAACCAAAACCTAGAAAAAACGTATGTTGCTTCGAAAACGTGTGAACGGTACGGTACACCCGACTTTGAACTACACCGCTTCAATAACGAAGGCGTCACTAGTTTTGAATAATTTATGTCAAGTTTAATTGCACGTGACCACGCCAAATTTGCAGTTTTTTTAACTGTCGTGTTTTGTTGGGTATTAAAACCGTCAGCTTGTATTTATATTAAAAAGAGCAATATTATTTTTAAGAGACATCCCACTGACAGCATTTCCGCTAAAAACTTCAGCAGATTCTTGGTATGAAGAAAATATGAATATGTATATTTTCAGGGCGGTTTTCTGGTTTACTTTGAATATACCATCGTTAATTAATGCTAACTCTTTAAACTTCAACGCCAATGCTATGTGTATTCATGTTTTATCATGATGTTAGCTAGTCATAAGTCTTTTTTTACAAATACGATTATTAAATCATTAACGTAAGCTTTTTCAATTAAAAAGATGCACAACCAACATGCATACAGCTAAAATGAGTTTATTTTGTTTAGTTGACCGTAGAGCAGCCCAACATCGGAAACGTTTTTTTCGTGTATAATTATATTTCCTAAATTGAATATGCGATAAGTATACGTGATAAGTTACGCTTCGATACGAGCGGTCCAATTCATCAGTGCTTCAACGAGGGAAAAATGTGAATGTTTGATACGAGGTTAACCTTGTTCCAGCGAAGCARTGGAAACGAGCGTTCTTCAAAATTTGTCCAGAAAGGACAATCTCAATTTGCTTGAAAGTGAACAGCTATGTTTTTACTGAGCGACGTTATATTCGAGGGTTATAATTGACAAACGAGATTTTTCAAGTTTCTACGAGCAGCTCAGGTACTCTTCTAAATACGCAACTTAACTAAAACATTATATTCAAAAAGTGGGACTACCATTTTAACAAACATACCCTAAACTTGCAGAAATTGCTATCGCATTGGTTACCAATTTTCTGTATTTTATAAAAAGCAAGTACCGAAAAAATAACAACAACAACAAGCAAAAAMCAAACTTGCTTACCACTTGGGATAACAACTGCAAAAACAGCAAGACACAACAAAGCTAACTTCATGTTAAAACTGTTTGAGTTTWAAAACTGTCTTCTTCGCGATGTTTCTTTGTTGAGAGCAAGCTTTCAAGTGCAATGCCTGTCGGAGGTCCAAAGCTGTAATATCTTAAGCCCCCATTTATGCATAATTTTCAATGCAATTAACACTTATATTGTTTATTCTAAGCATAGAAACACAATGGAAAGTATAGAGTTATTGATTGAAATTCACTCTAGAGACTTCTAGAGATAGAAAATAGAAAATTTACCTAAATTTGTGTCATTTGGTGAAGTCTTTTCGAGAATTCTTAGCAGGGATGATTGTTTTGTTCTTTTGGCAAAGTTTTGGTAATGAATGTTTAAAACTGTTCACACTATGCCCGTTGCTTTCGGGCCAGATCGATGCGAATACCTAATGAGGGAATTTTCAAAAGAAGATTAACTTTGTGTTTCTTGAACAATCTCTTTTCAATTAAGAAAGTTTATTATAAGAGAAGGACGCTACATTTAAGAGCTCACTCCTCTATTAATTCCAAAATTATTTCCAAATTCTAAATTATTTCCAATAATAATAATAATATAACTGTAGACACGTATATGCGCATTTAAAGCAGTTTTATTGCTGATGATGGTAGCGAATTTACATGTGCACTAAAGAGAAGGTTCCAGAGGAAACATATCACTCCTTAATCAATAAGAAAAAAAAACTAAACTTAATTCAATTGTGAGCTAAAATCCCATTTATTCTCAGTCGCACATTCAACGCAGAGTTTGAGTTCTCTTCCTTTTTTATTCTATACTAATAATTCCAAATTGGATGCTAATATTGCAAAAGTTATTACTCGAAATATTTCCAGGTTGCTGACTGGTYAAAACATTGACGCCATTGTATGAATGATGAATGACTTCCAATATTCAATACCTTGATAATGAATTATTGAACATGTTTACACCAAACATAAACTCCCAGAAACAAGATTAGCGATATTACAGAGACTAAGCGCTATGTGGACTGCATGGTGTGATGAAAAGTTTTGTTTCCCGAGTAGGTTGTTCGCGCGTTAACTTGCGTCAGTCACTGCTGTTATGATGCTATACTTGTGTTTTCAGTGTTCCTGCATCGCAAGTGTTATTTTACTTGTCTTACTTCTTACTAAGAGCATACARATCAGGCAGTCCTGTTTGCATTCTCGAAAGAGAGGCCTACAGCAGGATGCCATGGCAAGAAACTCCATTTCTATCATGACGTTTCCAACCATCGTCAAGTAATGTTTAAAAACTAAAAAAAGCCATTCTTACTAAGAAATCACGGCAGTATAATACGTGTTTACCRATTTTTTTCGAAAAAACTTTTATAAACTTTCCAGCGCCATCTTTWATTTTCGCCATTTTGTTTCTAGAAGATTCCTCAACAAAGTAATGAATGCTCCCTTCTTTATTTGTCTAGAAAAAAGGCTTTTTCATCGGCGATCATTTATAATGATTGTTATAATATCCGSAAACTTTGGTTTCCACTGTTTCACCGGGCTGACTGAAGGACGATAACATAATAACATGGAATCTCTTGAGAATTAAAATCACATCTTCATTCGATCTCTAGCTCTTTCCCATTCTTGTTACTTCAAAGCATATATCCTATATACAAAAAYACCAGTAGACACAGACCAATAGAATTGGGAGTGACATGGTGCTGAACGTTTCCACTACAAGGATTATGGGTAATGTTGTTGAAGGCAATACACAGGGATCCCGTACAACACGTGATGCCGCAATCACCCTTGTCGTGACAGTGACGCCGTTGTATTGAACATCTAGTRGGTGTGGCGCAGCCAAATTTCCATTCTCCTATGAAAGATGAAAGAGAGGAAGCATAATCACATGGTGGATATTTGGAGTCGGAAATTATAATCACGACCGCATTGCATGTTGGTTAGTAATGGGAATTCAGCTGTGTGTATATTGCATGGGAAGTGTTTTTTATTTTATTTTGAAGGATAGTTTTAGGATGTTATATATTTTTTATTTATTTGTTTGCTTGTTTAGTTGGATAGCTCGTTGGCTTGCTAGATGTTTTATATAAAGATTGAGTGCTTGAAGATTGTGTGAAAATCACTAGGGGACGTAAAATTACAGGCTCTTTCCCCAGTCCCCCCCCTTCTCCTCCTTCTCCTCCTTCCCAGGACTAAACAGAGTCACTAACCTTTATTGCATTCGATACTGCAGTAAGAGTACGTGGGGCCTAATCTATTACAATCGTAGTTTTCTGCTTTACTTAGACAGTCCTCGTAAGACAGRCCATCTTTACACCTTTGACACGTGATTGATGACGCTACATTCAAAACATAATATATAAGTGTGAGTATTTTACGCGAGGATAATAAAGCTTCTCGTCCTTAAGGGTCGTTCACACTTTGCTATCGCACAACTAAAATCGTACGTGTAAACAGCCCTGCGATTGTTGCGGCGATGGAAAATCACCACGAAGTTGCAGCCAATTTTCAAGCATGTTAGAAGCTCAAGCGATGTTCGCCGCGAGAATCGCTCTGCAAAAATCGCAAGTGCAAACGGACCTTTAAAGTAATAGACATATACTATARAATGTAACCGAGACGTGTGATACGCCAAAAAGAAAAAAAAGTAGGGAATAGAAAATCTTGTAAAATAAAGAATAACAAGGTGTAGTAGGATGGTATGAAAACCAGCCATGAAAACCACTTTGTAGCCAATGCAGTGAACTGCTTTTCTGAATGCACGCAGGCTCAATTTGGTTGCTATAGTAAAGGCGTGGTATGACGCTGTCATTTGATATCTATATCTTTGTCGATCGCTTTCACTCTTCAATGGCTTGAATGGCCTTTTCATTGACGTTCTCAATTTTGATTAAAATTCTGTTTCTATTTGCACTTTAGTCGTGCTTTTACCATCTGGTTCTATCGGGTCTAACATTAGAATATGATTATAGAAATTAAAAAAAATGTATATACCAAAAATGATTTCCATGGGAAGAAAAGGAAAAAGGATTTTAACTGATTCCACGAAGAGCTTTATTCTTCTGTTTTTTTGTAACGTCGAGCGATCATCAAGTTTCTACTATTTAGCTGAATTACTTAAAGAACATGGATTTAAAAATGTACAAAATCTGATTTCCCCCGATTTATTTACGTCTGAGAGAACCATACTATTTGCTTTACTTTTATATAAATGCCTGCAATTTTTTCTATATAAACTGAAYATGCGACACTAGTCAGTAACCAAAAATCATGAACTGATATTTGTACTCATTTTCCTTTGTGATTTTCTCCCMAAATGRTCGATTAGTCATTATCCGCCATTCACCAACGAAACAAGTTTCTAAAAAGGTAATTTCCAAAAGAAACACTTCATTTGGGTGAAAAAACTACCGGAMTATTCCTTTGTCTTTTTTGCCTATCTTCTGTTGTCATTCATGGAGAGCATATCTGACATACGCGTCCGTTCCCTTTAAAGATCTCTCTCAGTTTATTCTACTGACTCATAAACCTTTGCTTATAAACTCTAATTCCATTATTTAACGAGAACACAAAGCACTGCGAAGACTACTTCGTCATTTTCTAAACAAAACCTTCTAACCACAAACCATATGCCATATACTTACATCTTGTAATATAAAACGCAAAAACCACAATGGCGACGAACCCAAACTTCATACTCTTGCACTAGTACATCTGCGACGCTCGGATCAATAGCAATTTTCTCTTCTTCGCATGAGGACAAGAATGCTCATTTTGCGTTATTATAATACTGTGTATATTGCCGWGGTAATTATTCATATATTGCCTTACGATGTTAAAAGGTATTGAAAATCAGATTGACAACGTTGGTCAGCTGACCACGTCCTCAGTCACTCTACCCCAGTTCTCCACGTACAAACAGCACCGTACAAATGAACGGACTTTTGACATAGGTTTTTGTTTACTTATGAATAGGGCCGCATATTAATCAATGGAAATTTTTGATATGTCACTCAAGATTCCCCGAAACCTTCATAATGGACACGCACGAAACGCTTTGTAGTTTTTCCAAACTGTAAATAAATGAAAATATTCGTTGTGTGGTAGCTGGGTTTCAGCTCGGTCAATGTGCTCGACTAAAAGCTATGATTCATATTAGGACACATTTACGTTGTACGAGCGTTTGATATATATAATTCGTATATTTGGAAAAAATCCACAAAACACCGGCTTTTACGTCATATACCTTATACGCAATGCATTGTAGGATATTTTTGGGACAGAACATGGCGATTGTCTTTTGCTTTCGCCATAAACCAATCCCATAATGCATTGGAAGTCACATAGGTGACGTAAAAAGGTTCAGAAGTCGATTCAACACAGTAATAAATCAAGCTAAAGTAGAATGTCTTTGTTGTCATGTTATTGTGTTGTTTAAGAGATATTTTGAATAAGCGCATAAGTAAAAACAGGCGCTTATTGTTATTGTGAAATGTTGTTTGGTTAATTCTACTGCAAACAGATCTACTTTTCTCATCCGCCGAAAAGGCAAGAGAAAATTCATGAGATGAAAAGCTTGGAGCTACCTTAAAGCTATCCCAGCAATGGTGTTATTTCTGTTGACATTTTTGAGTCGAATTCACTGACTATTCTACATGAATAAGAATTAAAAAATAAAGGTGTACACTTGGTGATGTGTCCATCATCTCCTAGTAACGAGATGATTTCAAGAATATAGACATCATTTAAGACCAATTTTGATCTTATTCGGCAACAAGCCTTGCTTTATTCCACGCATGTCTGATRACCTCCTCGACTCTCGGTGCTTCAGGGTGGCGGAGGATRTGAGGGTGAAACGCGGACGGGGGAGGCTGGCCGTCGCCTTCTTTATGCGATGCTGATSCATCATGGTCGTCGCTGTAGATCTCGAGTTCGTTTGCTGTACAGCAACAAAGACACTTGTTTGTTCGCTTGAGCTCGAGGTCTTTGAGGAATCGATAGTCGGTGTACTCTGTCGTAACTAAAACAGATTATGACAGACATTAGCATACACCAAACCGTTGACTATTACAACTATGGCTACTGAACTATGGTCTACTCAAAATATACCATGGTCACTTTGAGGACAAGAAATGTTGTTTTCTTATGTTCTCATTTCAAAGTGCACGTATATTTGGAAACATAGGATAAGAGATGGTTAGAGAAAACTTTGATTTCCTTACCACACACCTTCCCTGTAAGTACATCTTTTGTCTGTGAGCACACACACACAGGTATCCCAAACAGGGCTTTAATTTTTTTCCCACGAGTGTTAATAGACTTAAATAATTTACAAATGTATTTTACAGTTTGCATTTACCTGAACCAAAGAACAAACCACAAGGTGGCTCCTTCTTGTAAAAGATTCCTTGTCCAGTGATTCGCCAGAACGTCTTGGCCAGACAACATGGGCATAAATAGGCCACACAGCACTCTCCACAGTCTTCTTTGTAGGCACATCCAGGAGCTGGCGTCTGCCCTGACCACTGAGCACTGCTTGCTTCTGCCTCTCTCTTCTTCTTTTTCAAGAGGGTGATGAAGTCCATTAANTGACACCCTTTTTTTGAAATAGCTATGATTATCTAATTGCTATCCACTGATCACCCCATTGATAAAATAAACAATTCCCATCCATTCATTTATTCACTTATCTGCCCTACCTCTTGAATCAAAATAAGACATTTTCCATTGATCTTGTTGGCCTGAAACTGCTCGGATAGGAAATCCATACCAATCCTGGCCAGGAAATTCTGACACACTTCATGAACTGACCATGCTGTAATATCCAATGAGAATCAAGGTGTCAGAGAACAAATAACAGAATAAAGTAAACATAACTATAACATGCATTTAGCCCATGAAAATGAAATAAAAAAACTTGTGAGATGTTATACATATAAGTTTTAATTTGTGGAAAACAATAATAATAATATAATAAGTTTGTATTTATATAAGTGCAAATTCCATAAAATGTTAAAATGTACTTTACAATAAAATAATAAAAATATTAAATGCCTATATTATTGCCACAAGTTTACTTCATTTGGAATGGACAAAAGCATATACAAAAATCAAGTAAAAATAACCATTTGAGTACACAGCTGGTAAATTTAGTGTTCTGTAAGTCCAAAAAGTCCCATGTGTCTGGGGGATATATAGAGCACTGTAAAAGTCTGTAATAAACAGCTGACATTTCTATGGTTGGATGTTTTTTTGTATTTATACCAAAATAAAAGTGCAGTCAAGGGCTTACGGTTCAGTCTCCTCTTTAAGATACCAACTGAGGGCTAATAAGGGTCTGGGACTGGAGTAACAGTGGGTTTGTGTGAAGAAGCAGTTATACCTCACCAGCCCCATATAGGCATATTACAGACAGCTGACGGGCCATGATCACATAATCTCATCAGTCATGTTGGAAGTTTTCAATCCCATTCCTAGTTTCTATTCATATATTTTGTAAATCCCATTACCATTTCATCAAATCCCAGTCTTCGTGTATTCAATCCCAAAAAAGGCTAAATCCCAGCCCCCATTTTACTTTCAGGACCCATTGTAATAAATTCCAGAGAATTTGTATAAATTTAGTTGAGCTTTTGAGTAGTTGGTTTACATTTAGAGAATAATGCAACAGAAAAGTGAATAACTGAAAATAATAACTGTGTTGATGATGTACTTGTAATTCCCACAATAATATTATTATAAGGCATTCTATTTATGAGAATGTGGTGTGCGGTTTCTAAGACACCAATCTCTCTTGAAAAAATGTCAATCTATTTATGAAGGGCATGTGTACAGTAAGTTAGCAATATTGGTTCCTACGTATGCTCAGTTTTAAGAGGGCAAAAACATGAGATACACTTCATGTGTTACAACTATTTTTAACTTTGAAAGACAGATTTGAAACATCAACCTGTTAGCCGCACTTGAAACTACATAAACAAATGCTCTAAAGATATATTACTGTAAAACTGATGTAAATTTATGACCAATTTAGTAGTAAATATTATATAACAGAAAGGAGTTATAATTTGACCACAATACGTAAAATATGCAGCTAATTTTAAGTATTCGCAATAATATATTACTACATTATATTARTCATGGAGAAAATAACATATGTTGAAATGACAACACAACTCTCCTTTGTGTTTACGCTGATTTTTATCAGAACSTTAGCGTTAAGCTCAGTTAATGTTTGGATAACCTAGTTCGGGATACATCAAATCCAATTTAGTTTACGAATCCAAAACTAATTCACAAACAACGCCCAGCGTATGCACGCTTCGCTAGTCGACAAAATCTTTTCTGTTTAGATCCTCTTATTCAATACAATTACAGCATTGAAACCTTTTCTATAATGACTTTTCAGAGACTTAAAAAAACCCATAAATTAGCTTCAAATTCATAGTAATATTGAGGCAGACTTCGAGTTTCAATTCTGACCCCTTTGAAAGATTACAAGTCAAATATATACAATGTTCTTTGGTGTGCGACTAGTTGAGGGAATTTACAAGGGCTTGGTCGACGTGGTCGGTGTTTAAACCTCACCTTGAACAGAAGTAGGGTCCAAGTTCAAAACGTAGTCTTCTTCAGCTGTTAGCTGAGTTGGTTGGCTTGAAACTACCTTCGTTGGTGCCGCCATTRTACCGCCTTTGCCTGGGATCGACTCGTATCCTCCTTTACTTGCCATAGCTTGTTTGGCTATGAATAATTAACTAAAACTGCGTGACCTATTTATAGTTTCTTGAGGTCACGCAAGTCACGCAATCATTAYATAAACTGAGTAAAATGCTGCGGTTTCTTTTATGCTGTTATGAAAACGCGTTGATAAGTTGACAAATGTTTGTAAAACAAAAATCTTTACGGGTGAATTTGACTTAAGTAACAATTTTATTGTTTGATTTCAATTTTCTCCCTAAATGATCTAAATGACTCCATCAGACACATTCACCCTACTCCTTTATTAAACCAACAACAATTAATTATCCCATATTAGTCACATTTTGTACAATACTAGTGACTTGACTAGTAAAATCAGCATTCATGTACAGTACGGCACGATAAAAGCTGGAGTCAATGGCTATTGCACAGATCTTCGACTCCCAAAATGCTCCTCTCTGGCTCAGTACTATCGCAAAACTATTAGCCATTCCGCAGTTATGAAATGAATTGTAATTTCTGTAATATTGAGCCAATCGAAAAAATAACCATATCACTRAAAAGACTTTATCGACTTTAGTGTAGGTTCCAAGTTACAGATCATTTGGACAAATATTCAATTAATGAGAAGCCGTGCAATTTACAGAGAATGTATAGGGATTTTGACCGCGTCCCCCAAAACAATACATTCTCTGTTAATTTCATGAAACTAGGAATAAATACTGTTCAGCTAGTTTTTATCCAAACACTTTGAAACTTGGTATATTTACTAATTTTTGGGTTTCCTTTCATGGGGTGGGGTTTGTTTCGTGATTAGATCAATATTTCTTTGATTAGTGCCCAGTCCCCTGCGCAACTCCGGAATGGCATACAAACTAGACTAGAGACTATATAGAGTTTCCTTTGTTCATTTGTAACCATTTCTCAAGATACAATCATTTTGTGAAATTATTCCTAATAAAATTAAATCCAAATTTCGTTAACAATAACATTAACTAATGAAAATCATAAAATGATATCGCCCCATCATAAGTAWCGGAATCTGGAATCCGACAAACTTTTGTCTCTGGAAACTGAATCKAGGAGCTTGGAAATAAAATCCAGGAACGCTCTGGATTCCGTGATATGAGACGAATGATATAGTTAGTAATCATGAGCCATAACAAGACGTTTTGCTTTTCTACAACCTATCTACTAAGTAGTACAGACACTACCTTCGACACTGTAGGCCTTTTTCTGAAACTCAGAACCTTAAGCGAATCATCTAAAGATTAGAAAGACATCATATGTCCTTATTAAAACTAGTCTGATTCACATTATCATAATCATAATCATATCATAACGAGTAAAAATGGCACTAAGAATACGCAAGGTTGTACGTATTCTTAAAAGTAAAAATCAAGCTGAGATAAAGTCGTGCGGTTTATCACGCACATCAGTGTGTTTACTGGTCAGCTCTTTTGTAAACAATGTGTAGGTTATCATCATGTCGCATCAAATGTGGTACCAAACGCTGCGGTAGATCATTAGTTTATGATTTATGATTATGGGTGTAATGCTAATCGTAATAATTATCAGTTATCACCTTAAATACATTTGCATGGAATAGTGCAAAATTGAAATACTCTAATTGTGTGGTGAAGTGAAGGAAATATTTGGTCTGAAACTCTATATTTTCAATTGGACTATAAGGCTTAGTCTACACGTACATTTTTTATAATCGATCAAAACTATACTGGTGGCCATCAGTCCCCAGTCCACTTTAAAAAGCTCTCCAAAGTTCAATAAATAGCAGTATGATCTTTTGTTAAGCGTGTATTGGTGGAAAAAGGATAAAGAAATACCTACAGATAATTGACATGTAYAAATCAAAGTGCTAATTAAAGTATTTTATGTTTCACTGGTTAGCAGACTCTTCATTTGGTTTGATTATTACTTGGTCATGTGATCCTGACGACTTTTCCTCTTGTAYCATGGATCCACGCTGATACTTTGCCGAGTCGCTTGTCATGGTTGTCTCTGCTTCGCCAACACCAGTTCCCTTAACTTGACCCCAGTTGCAAAGGATGAGAACACGTTTGTAGGCCGCGCGGAATTCTGGGATGCGGTAGCAGTAGATCCAGGGGTTCATTGCAGAGTTACACAATGCTAGGGTGCGAGCCCAGTTATAAGCTGTTCCAGCGTTGTTGCCGGCACTGCGCGACCTTAAGAAGATGATGGGCAACCAACAGATGATGAAAACGATTATGACAATGCCAATCGTCATGGCCACTCGCCTTTCGATCTCCTCGCGTTTTCTTTTGTTACTCGTCACGGTGTAACGCTCGGTGCGTGACTGCATGAGCTTGCGTTGCTTCCTGACTTGGAAAATGATTAACGAGTAGCTTACAACAATGACGACGAAACAAATCGCCATCATGACTACGGTGAACATAGACGTGGCTTTCTTGCTGACTGTCAGGCGAAGGACTCCATACACAATGGGTAGGATCCATGATATCAGCAGCATGATCCTGGATCGCATCTTGGTCATGATACTACTAAACGTGTGAGGCCTCGTTACCATCAGACATCTATCAACGCTTATGAAACATAGATGAAGAACTGACGCGGAGCACGAAATATTCGCTGCAAGTCGAAACAGTAACTCGATGATCTCGAGACACGATCCTCCGAGGCTCCCACCAAGAAACGCTACAAGAAGAGGCTGTGCAACCACGGTCACCATCAGATCAGCAACAGCAAGACTTACCAGAAAGTAATTGGACACAGTTTGTAGCCCAGTTGTGGTGTAAATCGTGGCGCAAACCAGTGAGTTTCCAATGCTGCCAAAAATACTGGAGATGACGTTTAATATAATCATAACAACTCCATGCCCCATTGGCATTAAACATTCTGTTGCATCGGTTCCATTCAGTATGCTGTTATTCATTTTCAAGGAGGCCAATAGTCGAGTTTTCTCGGTGAATCTCTAATCAACCTAAYAGTACTCAGTGTTTGTAGTGAAAACTTTTTCACTTTTGAAATCGTAGCGCGCAAGTTTCGAATTTCAAAGTTTCACAGCTGGATGCTCTACCCATTTGATCAACTGTTCCGCAATACAGTGTTCTTTATTTATAGTTGTTCATTAACAATTCATGAAGCGTCTATTGTGATCGATGAGGTGTAGATTGACAATGTTGAGCTTATTCAAGTAAATCGTTAGTTTTATTTTAATTGAGCAAGAAAAGCAAGACATTATGGTTATCACTTCTCGACAAGTGACTTTAAATAACTTATTACTTGAATTATCGGCGWTTTTATATTTGCGATTTCGATCAAACGATCGACTTATGTCATTGGTGAAATCAGTGTTGGATCAAACATTCCGAACAAACAAATGAAAACATTGGGATGACCTGAATGCTTCAGTTCTATTATATTCGGTAATTGTATAATCTGTATACAAAGCTTTAAATGTAACGGCCTCTTAAAAAAGTCATTATACTCATAATTACCGATAACTGGTTAACACGTCAGAAAAAAACTTTCATTTTGATTGTTTCGGCTTTAATTTATTCTCTTTTTTCCCAATTCCTTCTAGTATATAAGTTCTGAGAGAGGAAAGCAACAGCAGCAACAGTAAAAGTCTTGATTGCAGGAAACTCAGTACAAAATGACTACCATTTGTCACATATTTTAAGGGGGCAGTGACACAGACACTCAGCCGATGATGAGGAATTTTATCTAAATATCCATGATTAAATGCCACGAGGCATATTAAAAAATACTTCTAAAGGCCAGTAATTCTACAAGTGATCATATCAAGACGTGGTTTGTCACCAAGAATTATCCTGACCGATAACGATATCCTTGATAATGATTTGTCACGGTACGCCAAGCATCGTGGGGAGGTAGGGTGGGGACTGTTGTTCTTGTTCGGATGAGGAAGGAAGTTTTATCTTCTTATAGMATTACGCACTGCATCATTAGTCAATCCGTAAGTAAAATATAATAATGCGGAAAGGAACATGCACAACAACTTGTCTTTAGCCTTTTATTTTCCTGTCACTTCTTATGGTTGGAGCAGACTTTCAGGGGCTCAGTGCAGTACAACGGTAAAAAAACTATCAAGATTCATATACCAATCTGTAATCTTGCAGTTATTGATGATTTGGGCACGAATCAGACGAATTGAACTCATTCTTTTTGGCTTAATGCTAATGTAACATGAACCAAGCTTGCAGTTTCCATTTGTCAAAATGAAAGCAATTAAAGATTGCAATTAAAGTTTCCCTTCAATTTCAGTCATACTTGAGGCATGCAGTATATTTAGATTGACTAGTTTTTTAGTTTGATTCAATTTTAATGCGTCATGAACACAAATGGCGACCACCATAGGATCGTCTGTGTAATCTCATAGTGATAAAAGCCGAAACCCCCTTAATTTAATGTAAGCGKGCCGAGGAACATTACGTCACTGAATCTGATTTTTTAAGTTGCTATTGTGCTATGTGAATCGAAGAGGACGGAAAGCCTTCATTTTGCCATTTATAAAAAACCTTGTATAGCAATAAAAGCTCGAATGACAGTCGTAATATAAGCTGTCTCATTTAATTTTCTAAGTCGGTTATTGACGGTGAAGACTGACAACTGCTAAAAATAACATTTTGCTATTTGTAAAGAAAGCGAATGAGATTTACATGCTGGTACAATTGTTCAATATTGTTTCTGTTGGCAACCGTTTCGTCTTGGTGGAGCCAGCTATCACGTCGTCAAATTTCGCTGTCAATTTTTTTAGCACCAAGTTTCAGCAATTTCCGCTAGCAAGGCGATGAGATGGCACGCAATATATGCGCGATAAATTGTTGCATTGACTTGCGAAAAACTAAAAATTTGAATCCTYCTTCCCAATGCTGCAAGAAGGTTTGTTTTCATTTGCGGAAAAGGATATTTCCATAACAGAACGACAGAAGGAAATGACGCCTTTTGTTGAGTTAGTAAACAGCACTCCAACCATTCTAGCCTCACTTGCAGCCTGTCGTTGTTATCAGTCTCCTGCGCACGCTGAGTTTTCTCCCCTATCAGACCAATCTTCTTTATGTCGATTGTATGATCTTTTACAACTTTGACCGCTATTTGGTGATAATGGACAAATAAAAACAATTAATCTAGTACAATACAAAGCTATCAATAATGGACACTTCACCGTAACAGCTGTCACACGGAACTGTGTTAGTCAAACCCTTCTGGCCGTGCACCTGGCGCGTTTGGAACAAATAATTCATAATATGGATATTTGAAATCTAGAAGAAAATATCGCACTGTCAAAACGCTCGTTCCTAGGTCCTTTTTCCTCGCCGAGTGCCTMATACTGAGAGATCCGAAAGTGGGAACAGTGTTGCGCGTTGTCCTGATAAATAATGAGCAAAATCAAGACCATACCCCGTCCAAGTGATGATTTTTGACGGTTTTTTCCCGATTTTACCTGAATTAACTCTCTGGCGCACTAGATGCACAACCTGGCATTGTATGTGCATCATAGTACAACACTGGATTAAAAGGGACTACTTCTGTTTAWAAATATACTATTAGTATTACGTAGAAGATATAAAGCTGCTTCGACTACCCCAGAGACTCAAGGGTTCGTTACTACCACAAGAAAGGGCCTGGGAACGAAGTTGTATTTCCCGCACTTCTTTGATTAATAATTACTCAACTAGCCGACATGCTGGTACATAGTGAAATCCAAGACCACTTTTGTTATTTGAACTTTGCTTAACTATTACAACACATCCCACAAGGTTGCATGGCGTGATTCAAAATCCACTATTCGAGTGTATCTTTGTCAACGATGTCGAATATTTCATCGAATGGAACTGAAACGATACAATGCCTCATACCGCTGGGCCATGGAATTGCTATGATTATATTGAACGTCATCTCCATTATTTTTGGCAGCATTGGCAACTCACTGGTTTGCGCCACGATTTACACGACAACTGGGTTACAAACCGTGTCCAATTACTTTCTGGTAAGTCTTGCCGTGGCTGACCTGATAGTCACAGTGGTTACACAACCCCTCCTCGTAGCGTTCGTTGGTGGGAGTCTCGGAGGAACGTGTCTGAACGTCGTGGAGTTAATATTCAGACTTACTGGTAATATCTTGAGCTCAGCGTCCGTTCTCCATCTGTGTTTTATAAGTATTGACAGATGCTTGATGGTCATGAAGCCGCACACGTTCAGTAAAATCCTGACSAAAACAAGATGTCGCGCCATGCTGTTGGTTTCTTGGATTCTTCCTTCAATTTATGGAATACTACGGCTCACCGTTAGCAAGAAGATTACGTCGCTATTTACCGTGGTTGTCATGGCTATTTGTTACGTGTTTATCATAAGCAGTTATTTACTTATCGTCTATCAGATCAGAAATCAGCAAAATCTCCTACGGAAACGCACGGAGAAACGCGCAAGTGGCGTAACGACGTTGAGGCGTAAACGCAGCCAGGTTGAACGTCGCGTCACTGTGACAATTGGCATTGTCATCATCATTTTCACCATCACGTGGCTGCCAATTATCTTTTTAAGGTCCATAAGAGCAAGCAGTAACTCTGGGACGGCTTATAACTGGGCTCGTACTTTCTCACTGTGTAACTCGGCCGTAAATCCATGGATCTACTGCTATCGTATCCCACAGTTCCGTGCGGCATACAAACGCCTCTTTATATTGTGTCAGTGGGGAAGGGTTAAGGGGGGTGGTGTTGGCGAGACAWCATTGGGAAGCGAGTCRGGCACCCATGCGGCTATCAAACTTAGACAGTCTCGACAACAGTCAAGTAAAGCGTACGACCATAGCAACCAGGTCATTGCAAGTAATCAMGGGAAAATATCCGGTTCACATGAGAATATAATGGATGATAGCGAGAATGGAATTGATTATGGTACGACCACGCCCGAACAACTACGTCTACCATGCAATGGAGTGAATGAGGGAATTCATCAATCATAACGTGTTAGGACAAGTTTTCGCACTGTAGAGTGATCGCACTTAAAGCGTGCAACTGTACAAAATCTAAGTAGCATTAATTTGTACTAAAAGTGGACCTGAAGCAAGACGGTATTGAATGCTTCGTTTGTATCAATTCAATTTAATTTGCGTAGAGTGAACGCACTTAAAGCGTGCAACTGTACAAAATCTAAGTAGCATTAATTTGTACTAAAAGTGGACCTGAAGCAAGACGGTATTGAATGCTTCATTTCTACAATTTGCGTACCGCATGCACGATTTACTAAATATAACTAAATAGAACTATTTATTGTACAGTTGCACGGAGCAAGTGCGATCACTCTAACTCATGTGCGCAATGCAAAAAAAAACTTTATCAACTTTACCCTTCTTCCATAGACGTTGAATGTAAAATAACGGTGTTAAAGTAGTCTGTAGAAGTTGATAATCTTTAGTTTAATCTTTAGTTATTGTTGCTACTACTACCACTCCCCTTCCCTCAAAGACTGAATAAATTCATATGCAAATATAATGCAAAACGAAAAAAGCACCAAGAAATGTCAAATTTGCTTTTACTTTCGAACTCCCTCATTATCTGGCAGAGATATTCCACCACTCTTGTCTATCAAACACCCCAAAACATGTTTGTTCCTTCAAGGACCCCCAAAACGTTTGTTTTAAGCGATGAGGATACTCAAAACAAAACACTCCCTTCACCAAACAAAAAAAAACCAAAAAACAGTGAGCTTTTAATAAAGTTGTTTATTGTAAATTACTTGAAAACTGTATGAATACCAATGTAGCTACAATTCAAAACTCAGAATGACTGTGATTCATTATGTGTCATGTATTAGACTATCTACAAAAGCCCATTTCATGAGACTAACATCTCACTATAGGATGCTCCATGGGTTGTTTCAAAGTGATCAATACCCAAATTCTCACAAGTGGCATACAGGATGTACAGTCAATTCATAAAAACAGTTTATCAACAAGTGMAGTCCTTTGTCGGGTTGTGAGAATTTAGGTGCTGATGTAGAATGGAAGGGATTCTGTAAAACGCTTTCTCCATTGAACCTTTTTGATAATGTACACCAGAAAAAGTCAGGAGAAATGTGATGAGAAATGACTAATGAAAGCGATTAGTCAATATTGTGGAACCGTCACACGAATCCTTCAAGATGTTGGGAGTCTGTTATATACACAGCGATTACGCTCTCAGTCGTCATCATCATCATCGTCTTCTCTTTTTCGTTTCTCTCCTCGTTGTGTTTGCTCGCCTTCTTCTTCGGCATCTTCTTCAACATCGTCATCATCGTCCTCTTCTTCTGCATCTTCAGGATCAAAGTCTTCCTCTTCTTCATCGTCCTTCAACAGAAAAAAACAATATGGTGTTAATGAGTAAACACAGCACATAAAAAAAAATCTAGGACTAAAAAAAAAGCATTATGCAAAACTAACTAATCCCTGGGGTAATTACACTATGTAAATGAAATAAAATCTAAATAATCACTTCCTAACAGTTCCATTTAGTAAAACAATATGAAGAAGGCCAATCAAATTTGTTGTTGAACATCTTATTACTATAAATATTAAAATAAGCAATTGAATTGACAACTAAATGCCATGGTTTTAATGAATTTGGAAGTTGGTGACTGTTCTGAAAACATGACCATAGATGTGAATCAAAAGGGTCTATGAGCATTACAACCTTAATAATGGCAAAAGTAACCAACCCAAAGGTCAAAAAAAAAAAAGACACAGAATGGAAAACACCATAGTACAATGAAGTCAACTTTATATTAAAGCAACAAAAGATGGATTCTTACTTCTAAGTTTTCTTTCTGTAGATATTCCAATCCTGGTGTTTCATCTTCACCTTCTTCATCATCATCCTCGTCTTCATCATCGTCATCATCTCCTTCTCCTGCAATAGAGTAAAGCTTTTAAGTATTGCATTACATTCCTAAATGTATTCTAGAGGGGCTGGTAGTATAATGGGTGAACAAGATTATTCACAAGAAAGTAAAATGTATACATTCCATAGATTTTATCTAGTAGATAGGTGTTATTTATTTTTGCCTTGTACAACTGGCTAGAGATGTCTTAATAAAACATTTCTTAGAATTATCCACACCCCCATTTAAAACAGCATTACCCACTCTTGGARGGTTGTAACATCCTAAAAACTCTGACATAAAGCACAAAGTAATTGGGGGAGGGGAGGAGGTGGTACACCTGACATTGACAATTTTTACAAGAACCTAAAAGTTCTTTTAAGGCCAAATTAGATGGCACAACTTCTTCCTGTAACCATCTCATGCAACCAGCCAAGGTTGGCTTTACAAGATGGCTACAAATGTTGAAGAGCTTCAAAATAATTGTTTAAAAGCAGTACAATAGTTGTAGCCATGTTGAAAATATGACTTAGGCAAAAGTTGTGCCATCTAATTTATGTTGACAGAAGATAACACACTAGATATATGCCAAAAACAATATTATTAACTATAAAAAGGCACAAGGAATCAAAAACAGATATATTGCATAATACACTCTTATGGGAAGCTGTAATATACAGCCCTCTTTATTGTATCTTTTGAAATGCAATAGCCCACTTYGCGGATAAACAMAGCWATTAGAAATTGAGCAAATAACGAAAAACGATTACCACCACTGGAAAGAACAGTGTGAAATTAGTATGTTTACCAGGTTTGAGCATGATTCAATGAAAATTCAAGGAGATACAGCATTTAAAGTGCTACTTGCATGAAAATGGCCTTATTTCAAAACTTCAACAAAAACAAATATATGACTGATTTATTTCTATTAAAAACAATTGCGGGAAAGTATTTGTATTGGAATTATCCCACATCAGAGAAATTTTGATTCAAAAGATGGAAGAACAAAAGGATTGAGTAAATGACGTCATCTACTCCCACATTTTTTGCCCAAATAATTAAGGATTTGCATCAATATTCTCTTGAAATCTGTTGCTTCATGATTATTACACCCATGTGGATAGGTCTATTTGATTTCTAAGTCTTTTCTAATGTTTTGCAATTTTCGTCCAAGTAGCCCTTTAAAAGTCCAAAATTCACATGAGAAATGTATGGGCTCTTGGCATGAGATCGAGGTTGACCTTGACTTGTTACAACCTCGCCAAACACTTCTAAGCAAAATTTAGTGTTTTTGAAGTGCTGCATCTCTTTGAATTTTAATCAGATTATTTTAAAACTTGGCAAATTTGCTGATTTTATGACGCTCTTTCCAGTCATGTCAATGATTTACCATAATGACGTAATGTAAAATTTCAAATTATCCACGAAAAGGTGTATTGGCAAATGATGGTAACCCCAAGATATTATTAGTAAACTGCCAGTTAGTTGTAGGGATTATTTTAGTTGTTTTCCAAYGTTTGAGCTGGAATATTACATGGGTTAAGTGTAACAAGTCTGTAACACACTTAACATTCTATGAACATTAACTAAACAAATAACAAACAACTAACCTTCTACTTCGACKACACCATCATCATCCTCATTTTCGTCATCACTTGAGGCCCCTTCATCATCCTCATCGTCATCATCGTCGTCGTCGTCATCATCATCACCTGATAATAAAAGATAAAACCAGTTAACAACTTGGTTTTGTTGAAAAGAGGCCTATTATAGGCAGTTTATATTGAACTTCATAAGCATTTGACACCAAAAGCGTATTAAAAACACTTGACTCAAAAAGCTTGAGCAAAATACAGTACAAATGTTGCTCTATTTTGTAGAGATTTATCAAAGGAATAGGGCTATTTACTAGTAATACACTTAGCTCCTACAYAGCTTTCATTTGAAAAACTGTTACTTTACTCAAATAACTTATTAATAAAGAAGAAAATTACCATCATCGTCATCATCATCTTCATCGTCAACGTCGTCTACTTCATCTTCATCTGCAATAACAAAATTTTATCTGATTATTAAACCGAAAAAATTCAAACAAGAGATAACTGATGTCGTAGTTAATTTGTGAAGTAAAAATTGAATGTAAAAAGAGTTATTAAATGTAGAAAAATGATGCAAGGACAATGTATTTTTTTAATAACTATGCAAAACAGCTGATATGAATAATTGTTTGTACATATATTATATTCCAACCACTGCATAATTGATTAGTTATGTTTGTAAATTTTACATTATCAACTTCACATTACAGTATAAAACTGACAAAGAAAATGTCAATTCTACATGGACTTCAGATGGACAACTTCRCTATAAAAAGTGCTTTATATTATTGACAAAATTGTACAATCAAGAAATCGCGACTAAATAGTTCTTATGGAATCTTACAGCATTCATTTATGAATGAAATTGAATTTTCGCGCCTAAAAGTGGTACGACGATCGAGTTCTTGAACAGCAATTATCAAGAAGGATTTTGGTAAAAAAAAACGCTCGATCTATACTGTAAAAGTTATCTCTTTGCTTAGTGCTTTTTTGGTGGAGTTCTGGTGTTTTTATRGTGTTTAAAAAATTCGCGCGGGAAGGTTTTAGGACATCGATGTTGATGCACTGGTTTGCTGAAACCCCCAGGATTGAGATCAACTCGGTCAAAGATTACAAGCAGGGATACTTCGTTGTTGTAATCCGTTAATAGAGCTTTGAATTGACTTCCAACAAAAATACAATGAATAGAAATGATTTCAAATTGACTAAAATGCTTTGTTTTGAACGGACGAGGACGAACTTGTCGTATAAGTATTGATCGCTTCATACGAATAAAACTTGCCAAGCTGACAATGAATTCTTGGATGAATATTAGGCAGAATTGTTCGTTAACATCGGGGAAAACATCAAAACGCATATATGCCCACAAGTTGATAGAAAAAAGAATAGCTAGGAATGTGTATTCTTACCCTCGTCGCCGTCTTCGTCCCCGGTCGAGTCTGTTTCTTCAGCTTCATTACCATCCCTGAAACACAAGCAGAGGACACGTTATGTACGGGGTCAAACGCAATTCCCAGTAAAACACTACGTATGCTTACAAAAAGATRTGGACTTTTCTGTATGTAGGATACAAGAGAATTTTTCTAAACAGAAGTACTGCATGAATGCCAAAAAGAAAAACATTTTTACCTGTCGCATCCATCTAAATACCGAAGCGAAGGAATCATTTCAAATACTCTACTCTTATAATCGTCGGCGTTCGTTACTTCACAGTTAAAAAGATCTAAGCTTTTAAGGTTTTTTAGTTTTTCCTGTAAACAAATAATACGAGTGTGAGTTTAATACGGCATTACAAAACCTCGTAAAGTTCTCTTATAGAGCGGTTCCATGCCGGTTTACAACAATATGGTGGTCAAGCTTACCAGAGGCTCGAGAGTTTCCAAGTCTTTTATTTTATTTCCACTTAAACTTAAATGCGTTAGCTTTGGGGACGCTGTGAGGTGGTGTAAGCCTGATGAAATTCGATTGTCGCTTAGTTCAAGCTGTAGAAAGAGGTAAATAATTATAATGGTTCCSAGTTACAAACATTCAACGGTTGTGAACAACATGTCAGACTGTAAATTTGGACACCAACCTTTCGTAAGTTAGGAAGTTTCGGGAAATTTTTCAAGCTAGTTAGACCGACGTTTATCATAGATAAGTTGTCGAGTTTGATGAATTCATCTGTAAGCCCTACTATATTCGTTGAGCGGCAGTTATCTAGAATAAGCTCTTCAATCTAAAAACATCAAAAAGCACATGGATAAGAATTAGTTTCRCTCAACTCGTTCCCCTGCAGAAAAACTGAGCTCAGACATCATCAAATAGCTTTGATTAACACGAAACACAGCCCAGACGCGGCCCAATAAATGGATACTTACCTCGCCTGGAGATTTATTACGGCTTTCTAGGTCGATCCGTTTTTCCATGCTTATTTGAAGGTTTGTTCTTTTTCCTTTGGCCTCTGTCTTTCTATCGAACTATTCGCTCCTCGCGCGCCACAAGCTAATCCCTAGAGGGGGGTACTGTATATTTCACATGGGGACCCGGTTAATGCCTCTTTGACAGAGTAAACATGAGGTCCTGTTGAGAGAAAARGAATTTTGATCAAATACACAGAAAAATAAGCCTTTTTTTATAAACTTTTAAATTCAAGAACTTTACAATTCTGGTTTGAAAATTGTTAAGCACAAAAACCAGAAAAAAATTTGTGATTTTCAATTAAATTACGACCAATATTATTTTAAAGAGGAACTTTCAATTTCACCACTTTTGTATAAATGATAATAGCGATATTTTGGATCTGATACCTAATACAAACATAAATATTCAAAGATRAGAAAAAAAGACAAAAACAAAACAAAACTAATACTATGAACTTTTTTTGAATTTTTTAGAAATGTTCAATAACAATAAAAAACTTATGAAAAAAAGATTATCAATCTAGTAACACTAGAAAATAATGTCACCATTAAAAATAACTAAAATCAAAGAAAATAACAKAGAAATTAATACATTACTTATATGTAAATTCTCAATACCTGACAGTGACGTCATGGGCAACCATCTTTAATATTCAAGTGATCGCTTCGGCCATCTTGGAGTCAAGAAAGGAAGGAAATACACAAATTTTAAACAAAAACTACAAAAAAATTAAAATAAAAAAGTACAAAATAATTTTAAACCAACAGAAAATTTATCTCCGCTAAAAATTCAGGGTTTATTACCGCCCAAAACGTCCWAAGAATGCATTTTCTTCCCAAACAAAGACAACTCAACAAAAGCTTATGCGAGATATGCTAACTTCGCTCTTGTTTGCCGTCCAAGCGCCGATCTCACCAAAATTTCAACAGAATTACCTTTGCGGTGATTTTTTCGAAAAGTTTAGCGAAGAACATCAATCTCTTTTGAAGTTGCTTGGTTTTCATGAGTAATTTTCTGTCTAGGGGCTTGGCGATTTCATAAAACAGTTCAATGCTTTGGTGATTTCAAGGGAACATGTTCCAATGCACACAACCCCCCTCCAGTGCAGAAACCAAAGAGGTATCCCATAATTTTCCAGGCCAACGACGASTGTATTGAAGAAAAAGCATGGAAAGTTTGTTTTTTCAAACGCCATTTAAACACAAACAAAATAATTTTCTATCGTGTATTTTGAAGTCAACAAGATTAGGGATCCTTTGTCTTTCTCCTCGTGTTATTTTTTGCAAGAATCAAACCTGTAAAGTGGGTACAATCGATGTGAAACCACAAGCCATCGCGTTCTTCTTCGCTCGAAAATCGAATCTCGCAAACRGCGAAGTTGTGCGTCCCAGAACGAGGCTGTGCCTTGATAGTGAATTTTTCTCAGGGTCGAAAGAAGACGGTCAAAAATGTTTTAGCAGGGATTCTTTAACTTGATTTATATATTCTGTGGATCTTTCCACGAGATGTGAGTGTTTGGTTTATGATTTGTACAATTACATGTGGCAAAAGGCATGTGATAAAGAGCCTTCAGAGAAATGAGTATTCAGATGTAATTTTTTATTATTTAATAATTTTTGAAGCTGGGATTGATCGCGGCCGGATCCGCCCTATCTTCACATCACGAATTGAGGAGCTCAATTTGAAAATTTGAAATTGAAGCCTTTTCGATTGCTAATGAAAAATAAATGCCAATAAACGATGCGAGGTACGTACAAAAGTGCATTTGAAAATGGGATCCGGGTCTGTAAAGGGAGGCGCGCCGTGTATATCTACATTTGGCATTGCGCTCGCATAGATCGAACTTAGCTCCTTCATTAAATTTTGACAACACTTTTGAATGTATTAAAGTTGATTCAGCATATTTATCACATTAGGGTTTCTACTCCTGCGTGAAACTCCAGGAAGCAGTTACTCAGRAATAGATGCGTTCACTCGGGATTCTATTGCGCGTCTGCTATACATCATGTATACATGCAGTGGCCGTCTTAATGTATATTATYATGTAAGAGTGGCAAGGCCTTTTGAAAACAAAAAACAAAAAAACTTGCATCTTTAATTATTTATAAAATAAAACGACGTAATCCAGACAGAAAAATAGTTATGTGTCAAATACATAAATTACAAAAGAGTTGCTGGAAAAGAGGTAAAGGTTTTTTTTTTCAATAAAAATTAATTAGTCATAAATAATAATTATTCATGGTAAATTAAGATGGTAAGGTTTAGAAGCACCGCTGCACTGAGTACGTTTTAGCAGCCTCTTGTTCGTTGGGCTTCCTGTCCCACCCAAACACGAAGTCCGACACAACTGCTTATGACCATATGAATACAATAACAAGAAAGTACAAAACATGCACATATGATGTACAAAGTATAACTTTGGATGCACGTTCACTAGCACTGAGTTGAGYCTTCCAGCAGAAGCGGGAAACGAGAAATTTTATAACGATTGGATATGATTGAAGGCAGGATTGTGTAATTAATGTCTAATTGTTCGAGGAAAGGCACTTGAATATTCCAATAAAAGTTGTCACTATAGTCAAAAAGGCCATGTTTGTCGTTATCTTAACACCAAATACCACAAATCCAAAGTTACACCTCTCTGCGTACTCCAAAAACCTTGGCATTTCATAAATATCTTGAAAAATCTTTTYCCTGTTGATGTTGAAGTACATCCTCTTGAAACGAGCTGTGGTTCTACTCGCAGACAGGAAAGGAAAGCTGAATTTGAATGCGATGAGGAACGAGGCAAAGATCTGCGACGCCCACAGAATATGATGCTTGTCGAGTCTGCTATCATYCCCTGTGATGAGAAACCATTTGAAGATCGTACACATCATGATGAAGAAAAAAAATACATTGTGCGTCGTGAACCACTTTTCAAACTTCCGTATCAATTCTTCGCTGTAGTTTAGCAGGTATTCATGGCAGACTTTTGCCTCGCTGTATGAGCGCGCTTTCTCTATGATATACACTTCTGTTGCGTCGACGTGTCGGGAAATGTCGCGAGTCAAAATGAAAAACATACAACAAGATACCACAGCGCAAAACATCCCCCAGTAAAAGACACCTATGTAAATGTGATAGACTACCTTCCCAAGTTCCGAAATGTGTAAACTGAAATTGTGAATACCGTAGAAGTCAAAATAAGCATTAAATTGCATGTCAACAAGAATGATAAAAGCAATGTCCAGGGTACCCAATAGTAGACAAATATTACAAAGCATCCAATCGAATGTGTTTGGACCACATTCCTCATCTAGTTGTTCTTCAAGTTGGAACTTCACATACGGGATAATCTCGCAGTTTGACTGTTGAAAATCTTCATTGTTGGAGTAGAAGAACCGACAGGCCAAAATAAACGACACACAACCGGAAACAAATAGGGACAATTCTATCACCATAGTAACAATTGGGATGTGCGGATTGTTKCCTTTAAGCCAATAGTTTTTGACGCAGTAGATGTATTCTCCAAGAGCTGCAAGTTGTAATAACGCAAAGAACACTGACACAATGATTGTACTCTTGTCAACAGTTTCAGGCCAGCATGGCAACAGGCCGTACACCAGTCTTGAACACATCCTTAGRAAGAMGTCACTCTTGAAAATCCTGCAAGACCTGTATACGTAGTAAAAGTGATRTAATTCTAATTTGATGTTAACTTGCCGCCAAATCACTGAATCCTCACCGCCAGAGGCATGCGAAGTGAGGGGGCCTGCGCAGTGGCAGATTGCAATTTGCAGAGTCTTTGAATTTGAGACTTTGCCAAATTTAGTGTAACACAGTTCGGTGTGAATCCAAAACAACGCTTTTGCAAGTTGTCATCAGTCGTTTCAAAGTCTTGAAAAACTGCAAAAAACAATCTAGAGCCCCCTCACGATTCAACCCCTACTCAAGACCATGTAACTAGCCCCTCCCTCACCGCATGACTGCTCAACCATCTGACCCTTCACCAAGCTACACACACTAGCTTTCAGTATGTTTCTCAGTGTTATATCCTAATACAAAACCCATTCCTGATCGGGTAATAACCTTGAAAGTCAAATAGGGAGTGTGAGGTCAAATATTTCTGGATTTAGAAAATCATATGCTTAAGTATATGTTAATAGAGGCTGAAATTTGGGTAAACCCCTGAATTTGGGTAAACCCCTGCACGAACGACACTTCAAATCAAATCAGTTCAACGTAACTTGACAGAAATCAAGAAAAAATGCTATATTTTCATTTTCGTTTCCGCTTATCGATAACCGAAGACAGTACGTRACGTGCACTTTGATATTCTAGTCCCAATAAGTTTAGAACCGTAAAGAAGCTATAAGAGGCTGCACGCTATAACAAAAGCATACAAAACTATGAATAATTCTTTTTAGTCGATTATTGCTACATTTTTTTACTGCAGAATATCAAGCAACACAAGAATATTTAGGATCTTGAGAATATTTGTTCCAAGAATTTTAATAATAAACTGCACAGAAATTGTTTACCTTGATCGGTTTCTTCTTCCWACCAACGATTCCATCGACTCTCCTTGCTGTGCTTCGCTATAATGACCATACCTTCTGTAAAATCCCACTTTTTCTTGATCTTCACCCTGCATTGTTTAGATGAAAACACTTAGCAACTTTAAAGTGATTTTGTGAACTGTCCGATGCAGTGACTTCTGTTATATATTTAGCTTCACTTTCCACTTCCGGTCTTCATGGAATTCAAATCATGTGACTGCGTGACTACGTGACCGCAACATCTTTACGACCATTTAGCCTCATTAAGCATTCTAACGGCTTGTATTAGCTTATAAATGGTTCTGGTTTTAAGCTACAATGTGCTGTAATTGCAGTCTATAGACTTACAAGACTAGATCGAATCAATCTCCTGTGTTAGACCCGCGTAAATAAGTGACTCCACAGGTAGCCCAACATCGAAAACATAAACACCTGACGTCATTTACGGAAATTGTTATTTCAACGCATAGTAAATAAGCCCACAAAAAACATAACATTCTTTATTTGTTTCAGTTGATAACCCTGTGTGTGTGAAAGTGGCTTTAAGCAGCGATGGCTGCTGGGACTGACACCATATCAATRTAAGGTTCTCCCGAGATGGCTAAGGAGTAAGTTCAGTCCCAAGCTTAKCTTAAGCTAATTCTCAGGTGTATATGTATTTAGTGTGGCCTTCATGGGCTCCCTGTGCAAACTGAGTRCAAAGTCTCTTTGAATGTACAACTCATCACTTTATACTACGCCGAGAGACGGTTTGGGTGAAATGATTTTTTTATTGTCGTCATTGACACATTATACATATTGTAAAAATTGCAAGTGTTGCAGAAAGAAATCTAGGCTATCAAATAGATGTTGTGATAACAGGGCTTAATTCTAACCATACTGAGAATTGGCAATATGCACTGTGGTGTCGGCTTTACTACTACTACTACTACTACTACTGCTCAGAGTATTTTCTTTCATTTCAGAATTTGTTATCGCTTTGGAGATTAGTAAAACGAATGGGACTATTTACTTTAGAAAAGAAAGTGGGCAAAGCTTTCTGGTCCTGGTAGTATGTGACGCTTAAAGCGCATCACGGCAACAAGGCTCTGATAAACGATTGCTGACTGTGTTATATACTTTACAGTATATTGTTTGCATGCGGACAATTTAGTGATGCTAACCAACAGTTTCTTTTGTTATGTTTTTGTTGATTACTCAAGTTGTGCGGTGCTATAGTGATGAGTTCATAGCAACGATTTAATGTCATCCTTAGCAACCAATCAGATCAAACCTCAGTGACGGGTAGTGCCTATACGTAACCACTATGACTTTTACGTATCGAGCTGTGATTGGCGAAGGAAGATGGGAAGTTACTGTTGCAGAAGATGACGTCACGTTATGGAAAAATGTCTGTAGATAATGAGAGAAACACACTTGATTAGTGGCCTATTTTGAAGTCATTCAAATATCTAACATAAACATAGAAAGATACTTGAAAATCATCTATTTTTAGATGCAATCAGTCTGATATCGTTTCATAATTTGATCTTTTTGTGTGAAATTGATTGCCTGAGTCTAGCTGTTGGAACTCATCAGCAAGCCCCAGTGACTTATAATCTCTGCTTTAATAGTCTCCTTCACGGTTACGTGCGCCATCTTGAAAGGTAGACGTGCCTTTACATCGAAGCGAGACAACCGTTGAGTGTGCAATGGTAGATACTTGTGAATAATTCTTTGTAGGTGTGAAAGAAGGTTTCTATCATTGCACGCTCAACKGTCGTCTCCGGCTTCGATGCAAAGGCACGGCTACTTTTCAAGGTGGGGAGGGAACCGTGAAGAAGATTATAATAATCGAGACTTCTTCATACCATCGGTCCTGAGCATGACGACTTTTCTTGGGGTCCTCCAAAATACCCTGCCCACTGTTCCGAAGAGGTTTGACGGAACGCTAAGGTAAACTGAGTTGGCCATTGGCCTTTTGTAGCTCGGCCTTGCATGGATATCTTGGTAACAGTCYTGACGGTGTCCAAGTCAACCCATATTGATTCCCCTTGTTGTTTATATCCAGCACACCAACCACGTGCACTAATCACATAATAATTTAGCCTCCCATGATAGGGCTTGCAATTATATCTCGTTCCTAACAAGCAAACAAAATTTTATTCCCATGGTAGCTTTCAGTACCAATTACGAATAAAGAAGTGTACGAAATAGCTCACTAACAATATCAATAAAACTTTCTGAAACCCCCTCTCCCCCCAGTCACAGATTGCAAAAAAATGCCCAGTACAGTCTGTATGAATAGGGTTAATGCAGAAGAAGATGTAAATATAAACGTTTTCTTAAAGTGCACTAATCAGTTCATGAGTAATTCTCGTATAGTTCTAGACATAATTTTAATCACTTCTGCGAAAAAGTCGCTTTGGATAAATCCCTAATTACATCATGTTACATCTTAACTTATGCAGTCAATGGCCTCACAGCCTATAGTTCCCGCCATAGTTCACGCAGACCATGCCAATCCCTGAGTCTACGTCACTTTCCGTCCCAGTCTCTTAGAATATGAAAATACATCTGTGAGGCCATTGACCGCATAAGTTAGGATGTTCGTCATTTTTCGTCATTTATCTCACTGTAATGCATGTTTATTAGCGTTGGCGTTTTATAAGTTGTGCGGCTCGAGATTGTAATTCCGTACAACGGCCGCTCATGTTGTAAACTATTCTTTGATAACTCTATTGCTAAATAAGAGAAAAAGATTTTAGCCTATGACCTGKTATAGAAGAAGAATCTTACCAACGAAATTATATGTTCCTGAGCTGGAGGCTCYAAAATTATCATCGGGAATGCTTCCTTTAAATCTCACGCCAAGGGATTCATGAGTACCACAATCTACACAGATATTGGATGTTAGTATTATGGGATATCGATCATCAGATGATGACGTCCAAATGATGATTCATGCTCTGATGATGACTATCGCCAGATAAGGAAATTTTGATTATTAGATGTTGATAAATGAAATTATAACTTGTAATGCACATACGGCGAAAATATTGATAGGTTTCTCTGGTCCCGATCAGAGGCAATAATAGCTTACAGGCCATATGATGCATGGTAAGGCAATAGTTATATCTGTTCAGATTCAGATGGAGGAAGAAAAGCGTAAGGGTTTGTGCGCTTAGTTTTAGTTCGATTTCATTGTTTACATGATTTTGAGACGTCATCGCTAGYGATCGCAAACTGAATGCTCCTGATTATTTGATGCATTCAATGTTTATTTATCAAATTCGTAATCGCCGAAGTATCATATGTTTTTTGATGGCCAATGAAGTTTGGGTTTTTCAAGTTGCACGGTTCGGTTCTTGTTGTTTTTTCTTCTTGTTGTAGTTCTTTTGAGCTTCCTGAATCCCGCCCTCTCCCCTTACGTCCCCTGATCGACTCATAAAATACAAAATGATGATGACAATAAAACGAATAGTTATGATATATATGATGCTCGTGCTGATGATGATTACAATGATAATAATGACGATCATTCACAACGATCGATGCTATGATATATTTTTTAGTACCTTTAGAGGGAGGAATTTGCTGTTTGTCTTCTTCACCACAGTTTGCTGAGGATGTYAGCGCTTGGGTAAGCGGATTCACACATCCTCGTCTCCTCATTCTAGGCAGGCTGCAGAGACTTCCCCAAGGCCCCCACGCTCCCCAGAAACCATCTAAAACAATATAATAACAGTATCATTTAAACCCTAAATACGTATACACTTAAGATTGAAATTTTCGATCTGACAATGAGGTTGTATATGCACAGGCAGGGGGGAGGGAAATAGCAGGGAATCATCACTCTGTGTCAAAAGAAGTAAGAATAGCCAAAAAACACCTGAAAAGGTTATGAAAGTGATTTGAGCTCAAGCAGCGCAAACAATACCAYGTAACTACATGACATTTCATCATTTCATATTTTATGACTTCTAGAAGGTGCATAAAGTGCTAGATGGAATTGTGTAGTGGGAAGTGARCTGAAATAAAAACCTTCCTTTATTATGCTTCTATGATCCCCGCTTCTGCCTCTTTCTCCCATTGAAAGCATTTAAAAGCCCTGTTTATATGCCACAGCATGCCCCTAGTGTGTGGAGCCAAACTGTTTGGTTTTCCGCCTATTCCCTGAAGGTTTTCAAACAAAAGAGTTTGGCTCTACGACCTTAGGGGCGCCCTATAGTTGAGTTTCGCGATTTCTTTTACGCTGTGTTAGCCTCAATTGTGTGCTAAAATATTCAGAAATGTAGATAAAACTCGTGATCATTTCAAACTATTTCCATTGTCTTCTACACTCACAGATCTCTTGCATTT